CTGTGGATGCGCAAGGAGTCTCCGTCAAGTCCCAAGAGATGTGGCGGTGTGAATCCCTGCGCTTCCCTGGAGAAAGCCATGCCTGACAAGGCACGGCAAGTAAGGTCTCAGTCTTCTAAGTGATGAAAGTGTGTGCCACCCCATCAAGAAAACGAGTTAGCCGAGTTGAAGTCCTGACATAGTGCGAGGGAAAGCTAAAATGGGAGGTGACAAATGTCAGTTGCAGCCTTGGGGCCAGCAGGAGCTGGCACTTAAGCCATGAGGTCTCTTTGTTATGCCTTTTGTGGTACTTGGAATCACCCACAAGGTTAAAGAGTCAGTGACACAGTGGACTTAATGAGGGCTGCAGTTGGGTCTTAGCAGTGCAAGTGGCGGAATCTGGCACCCATGTCACGTCGCTGTGACCCAACTTTGGTTTTAGTCGCAGCTGCAGTAGAAAATTAGGAGAAAATTCAGACTCATCTGGCACTGACAGTGTCCTCCCTAAAGCATATCTTTTCTTGCTACGCAGAGCTGTCTCTAATGTTAATGGAGGACACTTGGGCTCTGTTCAAGTATAGCCCGAAGACTTAGGGGAATTAATGCCCCAGAGGCAACCCTCAACCAATGGGGAGTAGGAGAGCGTAGATAAATGTTTAACACTCTTGTGCTTCAGGCAAACGTTTATGGAAGGTATTGTGTTTGCTAAGCCGGATGTTTCTCAGTGACATGGAGTCTCCGTTGTCCAGGGCAGTGATCTCAGTAACACATGTGTCTTTTGTTTTTCTTCCTCCTTTTCTCTTTCACTGTTCCTGTTTCATCACTCTTGTTCCCTAGGCCATCTCCCAGTTAAACCATCTGTACCCAAGCCCTTAGACTTGGCTTTTAGGGGAACCTGATTTAAAACAAATGACTTATGCATTCTTGTCAAAAGCCAGGTTAAATGTAAAAAAAAAAAAATATATATATATATATATATATATATATATATATATATATATATATATATATTCTTGGTGAAACATGAGAAACACAGCATATAATATATATATATTTTTTATATATATTATATGTATATGTTGTGCTTTTCATGTTTCACCAAGGATGTGGGCCTATAGTTGTTTATCTCAGACCACACTTCATTTTTTTCTAATTACAATTTCTCATCTCAAAACCAGTAACAGATTTCCAGGGAGATTTATTTCTCTGTAAATTCAGAAAGACAATAAATTAATCTACTAGTTTTTGATTATGGGATTCTTAAAATCCATTGCTCCATCTTGCTTATCCAACAGCCACGAGCCCCCTTTGTATTGTTTTGCAACTGAGTCTAACAGTGTAGCAGTTAACCACCCACTCTTCCTGTATGCCTCTGTCAGTACATGCAAACTCTTCCTTTCACAATTTTACAATATATTAGGAACGTAATATGTTTAGATCCAGATAATTCTTTCCCTTTTTCCCCGTGCAATATAAAATTCAAGAGGAAGTGGTTCTGATGAAGCGCCCTCCAATTACAGGTCAACATTTACCCTTTTGTCAGTGCACATCTGCATGAGTGAAATCTGAGTCAAACACAGGTCTTCTGCAGGGCGCAAAAGCCTCATTTATTATTTTTAATTTTTTGTTTTGCCACTTTCAGTAACTGGCTGTACCAATGATTCCTTCCCCCATCTTTTTTTTTTTTTTAAGGGTTTTTACTTTTCCATGAAGTGCTTACCACTTCCCTATTGTCTTGCTTTGTGAGGGACCCATGAAGCTACCACTTCCAGTTTCAGGTATTTCCTAAACTTGGTACCTGTCACTTGCCTTCAAACATCACTGGTGATGTTCTTTTTGAAGCTTTGTCACTAGAAGACCTTTTCCAAGAAGGAGTCTCACCATTCTACAGAAGATGTTTGCTATTTTTCTATATCCCATCCAACAATATATGCCTCATGTAAACTTTTTATCTTGACCTGAGCCTGGGGGTCCTTTAATGAGGGCAAGATGGGCAAGAATCACCATGATCCTTCCAACAATCATTTTTCTCATAGATCCATATCCTTGGAGGGCATTGAATCTTAAATTGCTATTCGTTTACAAGCTCTTCACTTCTCTTAAGTGTAAGCATGTCACTTACCTTAAAGTATTCATTTCCCAAGTAAATTGGATTTATATTTCCTGAACTGGATTTGTATCTAGGAAAGCTGCATACATGATTCTCTAGCTCATGACCTGAAAACAATGTTTCATAATCCGGGATTTAATCATAGCATTTCTTTCAGTGACAAGTAACTTCTGTAGAAAGAGTTTCATAAACATGTGTGCAGAATTTAATCAATAATTAACTACACGGGTTATAAAACAGAAAACAGCCACCCTCCCAGAAGCATTTTGTGTGCATCCTCTAATTACCAATTATTACTAATTATCTAATTATCCTTTCCCTTAAGAAGAAAATACTACTCTGAATTTGTGAAAATTATTTTCTTATTTTTTAATGTACGAATGATTTTGAATTTTTTATAAATACAAAATAATTCTATTTATTGTTTTTTTTGATAAATATTTTGTGAGATTCACCATTTTTGCACACCCATTAGAATGGTTATTATCAAAAACTTAGAAAATAGTAAGTGCTTGTGTGGATGTAGAAATTGGAAACCATATGCATTACTGTTAGGAATATAAAATGGTGCAGCCACTGTGGAGAGCAGTATGGTGGTCCCTCAAAAAGTTAAACATGAAATCACCATATGATCTAGCAATTGGAGATATCGATCTATACCTGTATCTATATCTAACTGTATCTCCAAAGAATTGAAAGCAGGGACTCAAACAGCGGTGTCCATAGAAACATTATTCTCAACAGCTAACAGTGGAAAAACTCAAATGTACATTGATGGATGACTCGATAAACAAAATGGGGTGTACGCACACAATGGGATATTAGTCAATCTTAAAAAGGAAGGAAATAATAACACATGTAACATGGGTGAATCTTGAAGATGTTATGCTAATTGAAATAAGTCAGGCACAAAAGGACAAATAGTGTCTTATTACACTTATATGAGATACATTGAAATTTACAGAGATAAAAAGTAAGTTGATGGTTAGTAGGGGCTGGAGGAAGAATGGAAATAGAAAGTTATTATTCAACGGGTGCAGGGTTTCAGTTTGGGATGACACAAAAGTTCTGGAGCTGGATGTGGTGATGATAGCACAACAGTGTGAATGCGCTTAATGCCACTGACCTGTACACTTGAAATGGTTAAAATGGTAAATTTTATGTTATGTCTATTTTACCACAATGAAATAAGAAGGAAGGAAAGAAAGAGAGAGGGCAAGGAAGAAGAAAGATATGAATGCCTAATGGGAGACTAGCTAGTTTAAGCAAAAAGAATGCTCAGCATGGACTAAACTTGGTTCCCAGAGTTTGGACATTGAGACTGGAGTTTCAAGTCCAGGAAATACGAGTTATACTTGTAGTTAACATATATTTGGGGCTCACTGTCTACCAACTATTAAACTAAATATCATATATGTATCACCTCGTGGGTCCTCTCAACAGCCCATTTTGTGATTACTAATGGATTATATTGTATGCAAATTTGAAATACTGTGATGTTAATACTTTATTGAAATCTCAATTAACTTACAAAGTCTCATACAACTAAAGACAACCCAAATTTAAATGTTGTCAAAAACATAATTTATGAGCTTGTGCATGGAGTGAATTTATGTTGTATTTATGCTACTGACAAACGGTGGTGCCTACCAGGGGAGTGAGGTTACCTCTGCTGTGGGCTCTTTTATCCAGTCCACGACCTCCATCTCTCCCTTCTCACTGATATTAACCCACATAAAAGAAAAGTGGGGGGCACTTCCTAAGACACAGACAGCGTTATCTCATTCTGTTGTTCTCGCTTCTAACTTGTGTCTCATCCTAACCCGGAGAGTTTCCATCTCTTCAGGGGATGAAAATGGGGAGGATATCGCTCACATTATTCTGCATTTTGGACAAATCCAATATTTATGGCTGCATTTTTCTGACTTTGTGTCCTCAAAATACAATTTTTGTGTTTAAAGTACAGATTTAGACTTCTATTTTAAAATTAAAAACCTGAACATTGTCTCTCCCCTTTTTCTGTATTTTACATAGAAAAACACTAAACCGAGGGGAGAAAGTATACACTCTCTTCACCTGATACTTAAATGGGTAACGAGAGAGCAAAAAGGAAGTACAGGGAGGGGGGAAAAAAAACCCCACATTTATTATGTAACAATATCATTTTGACACTTTGGCTGTGAGTATTAACGTGACTTGAGAAACAAGTTAAACAGAGCTGAGATTTCTGCTAACATTACAACACAAGTGCTCCCATTCTTATGTATGACCCAAAATAACCCTATAAAAAAGACAGAGAAAATGTACGCTCCAAGCAAAGAAAGAGATTTATTTATTTTTTTGGCACAGATATTGGATTAGCGTGACCAAGAACTAGGTGGCTGGGTAGAACGGTCCAGGTCTGCCTGTGAAACGTAGGTGATGAATTGAAGACTAAGCTGGAAGAATTCATAAGGGTCAGTGGTCTTTGAAGGAAAATCTCTCCATAAATTCCACTCAAACAGGGAAACAGGGATGTGGATGAGGTGGAACAGGGAGCACGTGTAAGTTATATATCAAGACCAAACAGGGAACTAGAGTCTGAACCATTCCTCTCTTTTCTTGTAAAGGCTGATTACCCGAAACAGCAACCAGCATGAGATTGACAGGTCCTGTGCTCCCGACCCAAGGTCAACCCATCTCCAATTTGCCCACAATTATTCAAACACATTTATGTATCCTGGATGCCAGTTTTCCACCCTTGCTGTCACCACCTGTGGTAACATCTTTCCAGATCTTATGCATCTGATTCTTACCTTCCAGTTTTCCAGGCCATGAGTCACGTGGCCCTTCGGTGTCTGGAGGGACCACCTGAGTGCCGGCCTCGGATCATGAGGACAGTGCCCACCACGATGCCTACGAGGCCCATGGCCAACCCCAGGGCGCAGACCACAGTCTCTGTCAGCTCTGACACAAGGGTCGGAATCTCAAGCTCTGAGAAAAAAGAAACTTACAGGGTCAGAGGACACAGTATGTAGGGCTACTGTGTGTGAATGAGGGTGCGTGTGTCGGGAAATGCACGGGGCTCCTGGGCTATGGAAGAAGAGTAAAGTCAATTATTAGAAAACGCTGCAATTGTGGGAAATGAAGTGGCGGCCCTGGGGGTTATGGGCTATAAGGCAAGGCTGTGTGGATTCCGCGCCACATCAGAGGGGGCACAAACAACGATGAGATTTAAACATACCCCAGTGCTTGACGAGCGGTGCGTCCAGGCCCCAGTGCTCCACCCTGCAGTCATAGAAATCGGCAGCGGAGGGAAGAAAAGTGAGGTAACTCAACTTGCGGAAGGAGTGGTCGCTCTTGGGGTAGAATGTGGTCTCGGTGATACCTTCTGAACGAAGCGTCCATTGCGAAACCAAGTGATGTTGATCACGGGGGGAAAGATGTTGTCCACGTGACAGATGAGGGTGTTGGGAATTCCCGGGATCACGGAAGACTTGGGAAACACGGCCACTTCAGGGATTTCTACAATGAAGACCAAAGACGGATTTGAATGTCTGTCAACTGTGCCTTGAGTCTTTGAATCATTTTAGGGAGCCCACACACACAGCTCCCCAACTGCTAGTGAGCCATTTTTTATGTCCTTTTAGGCTCACTTTACAGTAAGCAACCACCTCCGTTTATTTTCACCTGTTTCTTAGATCATATATATATATTTATTATTATTATTATTATTATTATTATTATTATTATTATTATTATTATTATTATTTTACTGGCAGGACTTTCCAAAAATTCTAGCTTTTCCATCTTCTAAATGAGGAAGATGAATGTTATCTATGGTGACTTCAGAAGGGGTGCTGCCATCTTCATCCACAGATTCTGAACTGTCCTCTGAACTGTATTGTGAATGTTCTTCTGATCTGTCCTCTTCTTCTGAATCACTGTGAAGCTTAGAACACTTTCCTGTCATTGGGGATCCACTGGGCACAGTGTGTGCGTCTGTGTTTGCTACTTAGGCCACGAGGCTGGGCACATCCTCTTGCAGGAACACAAGGAGTGTCTCATGAAACTTCGGGGAGGAGATTTATATAGATGTCTACAGATGGGGACTGGGTATTTGCTAGGAAATGAAATAGGAAGGTGGAGGAATTTAGAGTGTAATGGGAAGAGCAGCTACCCTGGGGAAGAAAGAGAGACCTGGAATGTGAGGGAGAGTCGGTGAAGAGGCAGAACTGTAGACACTTACCATTGGTGGCAGGTGTAAAGTTGGAATTTTTTTATCAAGATGTCCAAATTTCTTTTTGACATAACAATGTTTCTCAGGGCACTCTGGGTTTCAAACTTGGTAAGATTGTTAAACTCAGGCAGCCGCCAGACTACTTCCCTTTTTTCCAGGTCCACGTAGAATAGCTCATCGCCATCAAATTCAAACGTAAACTGGCCAAAGGCATCGTATGTCTGGTAGACATTTGTGCCGTAAGTGCCCACGTGGTCAGCTGAGGCGGGGCCATTCCAGAGCAGGAAGGTAAGAACAGGAAGGTAAGATAGAGCGGGAGGGGAAAGAACTTTATTAAACACGGAAGCATAAGAAACTGTATTCCAAGTAGTGTAGATTCATATTTGGCATGGTCTGATATCAGTTCCCATTTCTGTCTTTTGTATCTTAGGATTATTGAGAGGTAAGTGTTAAGTATTATCTCTTAAAAATGTTTCCATGTATATTGTCTTTCCCATGATAATGTATACTCCAAGAGGCACTGAGATGCTCTGTCTTGTTCACTTTGTACTTCCACTGTCCAGTAGGTTTCATGGTACATGGTAAGATTTCAATCATATTTGTTAAATAAATGAATAAATAATGAATAGATAATTTTAATTCTTAAGCTCATGTCTAATCACCTAATCTCTTAATTTTTATAGCATTTATATCTTTCTTAGCATATTATGGAATTTAGTTACTTATAAAATCTGTTTTTTTAAAAAAATTATCTGTCTCTTATTGCAAGAACATCAGTTTCTTATGGATAGAAACCTTGTTTTATGCCAAGCACCCAGAGGAGTGCTTGATACCTCACTAAATATTTGTTGACTTAATGAATCACTATTGGGAAAGGTTTTGAAGATTCTATCATATTCCACGTCTCCTCTATTTTCCTTGGCTTGGCTTTTTCACTTCAGGTTTCAATAACTGTTGTCAATGCCCATGACATAGCAGGACAAATGTCTGGAGAGGAGACTGAGATGTGGTAGAATAAAGCCACAGATCCAGAAGGTGCTGTGAGTAGGAAAGGGAGGGGCAGAGGGGCGAAAGAACCATCATTAGTCCGTTTTTATCCTCTCTTTAGAGCTTTACTGGCTGGAGGTGACAGGACTGGTAGTTTGGGTTGACAAGCTGAGACTAACCTACTGTAAGATCCTAGGTTTTCCACCATACATTATGCACAGTTCTGAAACAGATAAACAAAAGTGAAGTTACACTTGTAATAGTCATGCTATATCTTGGCATTATATAGTTCTTTGTTATTTAAGATACACATCTGCATCCTTATTTTGATTATGTGTTCTTTAGAACGATGAGTCAATCAATTATTTTTCCATATGAGAAAAATGAAGATCAATGTAGTGAGCTGACTCCCTCAATGTCATTCAGCTAATTAATTATATTTCTCTAATTGCAACCATCTACAGTAAAATTCATCCTCCTCACCTCCCGAGCCCAAACTTGGAAAATATAAATTATGTTGGAAACCAGAAAAAATGACATGCTATTTTGTATGTGGTGCAGAAAATTTATGGACTTGAGTACCCTAAGAAATCATGTAGACAAAATTAGTAATAGCTTTGAAAAAGTGTAGAGAGGGTTAGGAGGAGTAGGTTCATAAGTTGCTGTTAAGAGAAGCAATATATTTGGAGAAATAGCTCTAACATTAGGATCTACCATAAATTAATGCCATAACAACCTTCAGGGTGTATTAGTTGTTTCTGATATTAGAAAGAGAAAAAGACCTTTGGTGAGCATGCAATGACATGAGGACATCATGAAATTTAATCTATGAACTAAGCATGGATTTTTAGGGCTGGGGTTTTGGCTTGGAGGGAAAATAAACATCAGAATTCAGATTCAGGGGAACTGGGGTTTCACAGACTACTTACTATGATTCTGCACCCCATTCACTGCTGTCTCCACTCTCCTGGGCAATTCTAAATCCACACCCCTCCACCGTGCACTCACCCACGATGTCTTCACCTCCACCCGGGCTTATCATGGCGGCCAGAGTGACGGCCCCTAGAATCAGGGCCTTCTTCAGGGACATCCTCCTCCAAGGGTCTCCTCAGGAGTGGCTGTTCTGAGTGGAGCTGTGATGCGATCTTGCAAGGAAGGAGATCTAAAGAGGAGAACTAGCGGAGGAAACCAGGCAGGAGTAGGCCACAAGGCCTAACCCTGCTGTATCATGCTTCAGCCCGTCAGAGAAATTCCCTGAGCTGACACCTCAGTTGCCAGTTGAAGCGTTTTTATGAAGAGCCCTGGAAGAAGCCTGGAAAATTCCTTTGCTTTGAATTATCTAAGGGCACAGGTTCACAATGGAGCAGAAGGAACATTTTCATGGCATAGAATGAGCGGGAGGAGAGAAACAGAAAGCTCTGTTCATTCTGACAGAATGTGCGTGTGTGTGAGGAGGGCCGTGGAGTAGCCTCCCTCCCTCCCTCCTGCTCTCCCGCCCTCCCTCCCTTCCTTCCTTTCTTCCTTCCTCCCTTCCTTCCTTTCGTCTTACTGTAAATGATATTGTATTTTTAATTTTGCTTCATTTCTTCATTGCCATATATAGAAATACAAATTGATTTTTTGATTGTTTTTGAAATCTGCAATTTTGATGAACTCCCTTATTAGTTCCAGGAGGGTTTTTTGGGGGGAATTCCTTGGGATTTTTTATATAGACCATGATATCAAATGAGGATAGGTATAAATTTATTTCATTTATTTCTGATCTGCATGTGTTCTGACCACCTCCCATTCATCCTGTTGATGAAGAAGAACTCCCCAACCCTAACTAGTATGTGATGGGTGAACACACAACATCCCAAATGGACAGATGAGATTGATAGCAATTTCTCACATATACTCACAGCCTGAGGGAGGAGGGCACTGCCCGTGTAGGGCAACACGGAGGTTGCACTCAGAAACAGAGTCAATAAGCAGGGGCTATGAGAGGCAGCCTTTGTAGTGACAAGAGAATGGGGTCCCCCCCGGACTTCACAGGAGGATGTTGTTATTTGAATAGTTCCATGTGCTGGCAGCGGCCTGAAACCTTAGACCGAGAATCAGGTCCAGTGCAGCTGTTCAGGCTGATAGGGGAAGTTGCTGCGTGGAGGAAAAAATCTGGTGAAAGCAGGGGAACTCATGGTTAGGACTTTGGGCCCTTTGAGGCTTGACGATTTCACAACAGCACAGATTTGAGATCGCGCAGTAAGGCAGGCCATTTGTTTCCCTTTCTTGTTTGAGTTTTCCGACTGGGGCTTCCAATACTGTGTTAACT